ATTTTCTTAAACATGTTATACAAATTTTAAATTATAATTTATAAAGTAAGTATATATTTAAAAAGGGTTAGAAGAAAAAACTTTAGATTTCAGTTTAAGGTTAGTAGAAAAATCTGCATACTTTATTGGTTTAAACATACCAAAATTTCGCACACTTAGTATGAGTTATATAAATCTACAGACCATAATATGTATTTTACACGCTAAAACTTTGACCAAGTTTACCAAGAGATTTTGAAAAACTTTAAATCATGATATTCTTGTCACCAAAACTTACTTTTGTTCATAAAGGAGATGCTATTTTTGATGTAACAAGTAAAATACTTAATTATTATGAAATTATTGTGATCAGTAACTATTGGCTGATGGTATTTATTTTATATTTTTTTTATACCTATAAATAATAATTATATACTTACAATTTTAAAATATAAGCATATATTTTTAATGAAATCATAAATTCATTAGAAAGTGAGTAGTTTTTGGATACAACAATCTAAAAAATTTTGTAGTTTTAACCGATATTTTATCTAAAATGCATGTGTGGTTTTTACTCAGCGAATAAAAAGTAAATAACTAATTTAAAAATAACTGATCTATATAATATTTCAAAGTTGATAGAAATATAATGTTATACTTTTATATAATTTTAATAGATTAGACGTATCAGAGATTATAAAGTTAATCATAAATGTGTGGAAGTATTAAGAAATGGTGTTTTAGTTCAAAAGAGATGGAGTGAAATTGGTATTGGTGATATTATTAAAGTCACAAATAATAATATCTTCCCAGCAGATCTTGTACTACTTTCATCTAGGTATTTAAACAACATCAGTAATTTATTTATTGTTATAACAAGATCATTTTTAGCGAACTGTATGGAACTTGTCACATTGAAACTACACATTTAGATGGCGAAGTAAATTTAAAAATTAGACAATGTGTCAAAGAAACATCTTATTGTAAAGAATTAAAAGATTTGATTGGTTTAAAGGGAATAATTGAATGTGAATTGCCAAATAAGTTACTTTATAATTTTTTAGGAAGACTGACAATTATGAATAATATGTGAGAAATATTTATATTTTTATTAAACCACATGATATATGTATTATTATTAAATACATCTACTTTTATAGTCGTATACCTTTAGATAATAAACAATTTTTATTAAGAGGATCAGTTCTGCGGAATTCAAAATGGATTTATGGAATTGTGGTTTACTGCGGTCATGAAACAAAAATTATGCTTAATCAATCTTTACGCTCTTCAAAAGAATCAGCAATGAAAACAATTCAAAACTCATTACTGAAAACTGTTTTTGTACTAATTTTTTTTTTTAGTCTTATATGCGCATTATTCTCTATGTGGTGGATTAAACACAATATTAATAAACATTGGTACCTTGAACAAAGAGGTAACACAATATAAGTATTTAAATAATTATTTGTATATGAAAAATACATATTTAAATATGTTTCAAAAGTACAATTAAGTTAAACAAAGTTTAATTATAACTCTAATTAATTTAGTTGTACATTTTTTACGAGAAATTAAATTATATTTCTAATACAAAATGTGTAGTAATATTAAAATATATTTCTTATAGTACATATAGCCATAGACAGTAAACAATTTATACTTACATATTTTATAATTTTATAATTAAATAATATAACTTAA